TAAGTGTCACCCCTAGTCAAGGTGAGTGTGATAAGTGTCACCACTCATCACGGGGAATGTGGTAAGTGTCACCCCTTGTCATGGTGAGTGTGATAATTGTCACAACTAGTCATGGTGAGTGTGATAAGTGTCACCCCTAGTCAAGGTGAGCTTGATAGGTGTCACCCCTAGTCATGGTGAGTGTGATTAGTGTCTCCCCTAGTCATGGTTAGTGTAATAAGTGTCTCCCATAGTCATGGTTAGTGTAATAAGTGTCACCCCTAGTCAAGGTGAGTGTAATAATTGTCACCCCTAGTCACGGCGAGTGTGATAAGTGTCACCCATAGTCACGATGATTGTGGTAAGTGTCACCGCTAGTCACGGTGAGTGTGACAAGTGTCACCTCTAGTCACGGTGAGTGTGTTAAGTGTCACCACAAGTCACGGGGAATGGGGTAAGTGTCACCCCTAGTCATGGTGAGTGTGATAAGTGTCACAACTAGTCATGATGAGTGTGATAAGTGTCACAACTAATCATGGTGAGTGTGATAATTGTCACCCCTAGTCAAGGTGAGCTTGATAGTTGTCACCTCTAGTCATGGTGAGTGTGATAAGTGTCTCCCCTAGTCATGATGAGTGTAATAAGTGTCACCTTTAGTCATGGTGAGTGTCAAAAGTAGCATCCCTAGTCATTGTGAGTGTGGTAAGTGTGATCCCTAGTCATGGTGAGTGTGATAAGTGTCACCCCTGGTCACGGCGAGTGTGATAAGTGTCACCCCTAGTCATGGTAAGTGATATAAGTGTCACCCCTAGTCACGGTGAGTGTGGTAAGTGTCACCCCTAGTCACGGTGAATGTAATAATTGTCACCCCTAGCCAAGGTGAGTGTTATAAGTGTCACCACTAGTCACGGGGAATGTGGTAAGTGTCACCCCTATTCATGGTGAGTGTGATAATTGTCACAACTAGTCATGGTGAGTGTGATAAGTGTCACCCCTAGTCATGGTGGGCTTGATAGGTGTCACCCCTAGTCATGGTGAGTGTGATAAGTGTCTCCCCTAGTCATGGTTAGTGTAATAAGTGTCTCCCCTAGTCATGGTTAGTGTAATACGTGTCAACCCTAGTCAAGGTGAGTGTAATAATTGTCACCCCTAGTCACGATGAGTGTGGTAAGTGTCACCGCTAGTCACGGTGAGTGTGACAAGTGTCACCCTTAGTCACGATGAGAGTGATAAGTGTCACGCCTAGTCACGGTGAATGTGGTAAGCGTCACCCCTAGTCACGATGAGTGCGATAAGTGTCACGCCTAGTCACGGTGAATGTGGTAAGTGTCACCCCTAGTCAAGGTGAGCTTGATAGTTGTCAGCTCTAGTCATGGTGAGTGTGATAAGTGTCTCCCCTAGTCATGATGAGTGTAATAAGTGTCACCTTTAGTCAGGGTGAGTAGGATAAGTGTCATCCCTAGTCATGGTGAGTGTGGTAAGTGTCAACCCCTATTCACGGCGAGTGTGATAAGTGTCATCCCTAGTCAAGGTTAGCTTGATAGTTGTCACCCCTAGTCATGGTGAATGTGATAAGTGTCACCCCTAGTCACGGTGAGTGTGATAAGTGTCTCCCCTAGTCACGGCGAGTGTAATAAGTGTCACCCCTAGTCATGGTGAGTGTGATAGGTGTCACCCCTAGTCATGGTAAGTGTCAAAAGTGTCACCCCTAGTCATGGTGAGTGTGATAAGTATCTCCCCTAGTCATGGTGAGTGTGTTAGTGTTACAACTAGTCATGGTGAGTGTGATAAGTGTCACAACTAGTCATTGTGAGTGTGATAAGTGTCACCCCTAGTCACGGTGAGTGTGATAAGTGTCACCCCTAGTCACGGTGAATGTGATAAGTGTCACCCCTTGTCATAGTTAGTGTTATAAGTTTCACAACTAGTCATTGTGAGTGTGATAAGTGCCACCTCTAGTTACGATGAGTTTGGATAATCATGTGCATAATTAACATGACCCTAGCCATTATTTGTATGATAAGTGTCATCCCTAGTCGTGGTGTATTTCGATATAAATGAGTTGATTTATTTCCATGTTCAGGTTGGTGTTGGACTGACGTAGCATTGGNTCCCGCTTTAGTAACTGCTGGATTAGGGGCTGTTGGTTTCTCCGCCGCTGGAACCGCTGCCGGATCTGCTGGAGCTGCCCTTATGTCAACCTATGGTGGCAGTATCGCCGCTGGCAGTGCCGTTTCTGTGATGCAGTCTGTAGGGGCCGCCGGTGTTGGAGTTGCCGGACAGGCTCTAGGGGGCGCTGTGGCCGGTGCTGCTGCCTACGCGGTTGGTGGAGGGAACTGTGATCCGAAGAAATTCGATTGTGAAAACAACTAATTCAAACGTAATTAAAAAATATACCGTTTTCAAAAAAAATGTTTTTGACATTTTCACGATGATCTTTAC